GACGAATTGTGCTTTTTCTCCCCGACGGGATGGGAGGGGGAGCTCTCTCCAACGGGGAGGGGGGTGGGGGCGGCCTGCCTGCCTGCTTGCCCCCGTCGGAGGCATTTTATTTATAGGATAACATTCGCTGAGAGCGATGCACATGATATACCATCATGTCCTTTATTCGAACACTGCAATTACCTTTCATTGATGATGATGCTTTATGTATAATAATTTACAGTGTTAACGGCTATCTTTTATGTAAGCCTATATATACTGTATATTTGTTTTGTTTTATTGTTTTTACCACACACAAATTATATAAAACAGTACATTGACAATTATGGCAACTTAATAATACAAATGTAATATTTAAAAAAACTAAATGGTATATTCTTCTTCTTCTTCCTCAGGTGTCAGGTCTGGAGCAGACATCGACCAGAGTCGTAGATAGTTTCACGGGATTCGATATACGCGCGTGTGATTGGGTGGATCGCAATCACATGACTTACACCAGCCATGTTGTCACCAAAACAAAACATTAAAGCTATACGCGCGCATGCGCCTGTGCTGTTTGGTAACGACATGGCGTCCATGAGACAAGTTGGCCAAACTCTCTCTATCTACGGCTCTGACATCGACGAGCATAGCACGCCATACCTCTCTGTTGACAGTCCTCCTTATCAGCTCGGTGTTGCTTATGGTGTTCTTTGTGACACAGTCGTTGAGGCTGTCCATATACTTGGTCCTCTACCGTCCCCTGCTTCTCTTCCCTTATATTTTTCCACATAGCATTTGTTTCTCTATTTCATTCTTCCTGCAGATGAGTCCAAGGAACTTCATTTGTCTCTTTCTGATGGTTTTTATAGATCTTTTGTATCCTATCATTGATGACTGAACGCTGCCATGTGTGAAAGACTTGGCAAACACTGGACAACCGAATCCTGGCGAGGAGCATTTCAAAAGCGGCACCTCTGTCTTACTCCGCCACTCGACTCACTCATTCAAGTTAACCAGAAGGACAACGTATTCAGAAATTCATCTTCAGTAGGATTCATTTTTGCCAAGTAATTTATGTTATTATTTGCAGTAAAAACAACGGGGAAAACAACAATAATAAATATTTATGTAATAATAACAATGTAGTAAACTATAGGGTGAAAATCAATGACGCTATTATTAAGATGATACCGTAATCAACAAAAAATAACACCGCTCAAAGAATGTTCATTTAACACATGAGAGGACCGTATCCTACTGGAGCTGATGGAGACAAAGTCAGAACTATGAAAAGATTATAATAGGCCTACATTAAAAAGCAATTTTGAAAGAGACACAACATTGCATGGGTATTTAGTACGGTATTAATTCCATCCACAAAGAACCTACACTTAACAATTATAACGATTTAACAGACAACCTGTTTAATTAATGTTTTATTTAATGAAAGCCCGCGCAATACATTAAAACTGAACCGAACACTGAGATTATATATGGCAATCTGGGAAAGAGGACTTCTATGGCTATTTGGCCAAAAAGACGTTCACAAAGAACCTACTGAACATTTATACGATACGGTTTAACAGACAACCTGTTTAATTTATGTTTTATTTAATGAAAAACCGCGCAATACATTAAAACTGAACCGAACACGGAGAGGACTTCTATGTGGCAATCTGGGCAAGAGGACTTCTATGGTTATTTGGCCAAAAAGAGACGTATGGCTATCTGGAAAAGAGGACTTCTTGGCTATCTGGGTAAAATGACTTATATGGCTATCTGGGCAAGAGGTCATCTACGGTTATCTGGGCAAGTGGTCTTGATCCTGTGAATATCTGTGCAAGATGTCCTCGAAATCTATCCTTCGATGCACCGCGTGTAAGGCGTTTGAATTTCAATCGGAAGGTCGGGGGTTTGAGACCGATGCGCATCAACTGCTCGTGTCCTTGGGTAAGACACTTTATCTACATGGTGCCTCTCTTCACACAGGAGTATAAATAAGTAGGCCTACCCAGTAGAAAGTGAAACCCGGAATTAAATTAGTAGTGCTGGTTACACTTATGAAGGAATACTCTCCAGAGCAGAGTATAATAATATGCGCTATATGAGTCAGTATAAAAAATTAAAATAAATACAAGGATATCCAAATAAGAGCAGCTGTATGGCTATCTTGGTCGAGAGATCCTACAAGGTTATCCGAACAAGATGAACTGTATGCGGATATCTGGGCAAGAGGTCTTACCTTATAGCATATTCCATAGGCCTACATGTTATTCTACGTGATTCAATACCGGTACTCACTGAAGCGACATCGATGCCTACTGTTTCTATCACCTTCAAACGATATGAATTACAGAGATGCTTCACCAGTGACTAACTGTTCTTGCCACCTGATCAAGAATGATATATCAATACGCAGACATGTAGCAACAGTGTTTTGTTGTATATTTTCTCGTGTTTACCCGTTGAGCCGGACTACTATCAACAGACGTGTTTCAATAATGGTACTTTTAAAAGGGTCGTAAAAAGTTCTTTGTTGTTTGTGTGTAAGAGGTGTTGGAATACAAGAGAAAGCACATGAGGGTATAATTGGCGTGTGACATGCTCTGATTTTAGGACTATTATTATTTAGTTTTCAGTTAGGCCTTTATGTAAGTATCCTATTAGCCTGTCAATATTAATAGGACCATACTGTAAGCATGGATTTTTATATTCCATAGATAGATAATCACTTTCTTTAATAAATTATTATGCCAGTCTTACGTCATTTAAAAGTTCGAAACATTCCCTCTGTAGGTCTAGGCCATACATGAGCATCAGCGTCGAGAGGGAGACATGTACCCCATGGGGCCCGGCCCGCTCACAGGCTACTTAAAACATGATGAAAAATGTCATCCATTTTGGACGACGGGATCAGTGACCTATCTAGGAGCCTTGAAATTGGTGGGGGTGATGAAGGGAGTGCTGGAGGTGAAGTGTAGGGAACTCGATGAATAAGCGAGGGGCGCCAGCTTGCAAAATAAGGTTATATTTATCTACTTGAGCGAGATTTATTTTGCTTTGAATATTTTCAATGGGTTGGGGGCGTAGCGCAGTGACATTCCCTGCGACCAATCGCGTGTTAGTAGTATCCAATAAGAGCTAATAAGAATTCAGAGTCATTATTTATTTTAGACCTGGCCTCTGTAAGCGAAAATTGACCCGAGAATGAGGTTTACTTTGGAGCGATATAATTTATCTGTAAGCGTTGTTAACGACAGCAAATACAGTACCCTAGATAGACTACGCCAAGGAGCGCCACTTCATATAATCTTTATAATGTTTTATTGAATAATGATTATTAAGAATAAAAAGCACACAGACGACATTTAGCATAAGTTTGCTCCACAAATGTTCGTATGCCAGTAATAAATCAAGTTGCTTTACGATGACGCCACAATAAACTCGATTTTAATATTTAGAAATTATTTGTCACACGTTGCGTTTCATATAAATGTGTATTCCTAACATTGTTTATCCAGAGTTCAGTTGTCAACTTCTGAAATACAGCCGCCGTAAATGTTTCCCAATGGTGTTGGCATTTTTCCATTCAGGCAGAAAGTTCAGTTCATTGAGGTCTGATTGGTTCCTAGTCAATCGTCGATTTGAATCTCGTAGGATAAAAAGTTTGCGTGCTATAACGATTATACTGTATATTTATTTGACAGTCGATTGACCAAGTGAGGAGTGGACGAAAATGGCTGTTCCAAGATGGCAGCAAAAGTTGATGTCAGTATTAAGAATTCGAAACCAGATAGTTCGCGAATTCATGGCTGAATTTATTGGGACATTTATTTTGATCGTAAGTGAAATTTAAGCATTAATAGGCCCTATTCGTATTTTCAGTAGGCAGAAAATACAAAGTTATGATACTATCATGATATATTATAGAGTTTGATAGTCAAATTATAAATGTATGTGAAAATCAACGTCAAAACATTTGGCTTCTGGTAAATTTATTTATTGCTTTATGATGTTACTACTAGCTTCTAACAAAATAATATGTCTACCTGTACCAGCCGATGTGCAGGGCCTATAAAACGAAATATTCTATAAGCGACGTGTACCTAAAGGCGGCCGACCCCAATACTGTACCTCTGTTGGTAGGTAGAAGAAATTATAATTAATGTGTTTTTTGTGGTTGTGTGGATGTATGGAGTGAATAGTAAGCATTTATCACAGACTGTGGTCTGTGATGATTAATGCATGCGAGTGGTAACCTGACCCAAAATGTTGATATTTTACGTGTGTTAGTGAGTAGTGTATTTTAGGCTTCAAGTTCTCTATCAGCAATAACACATTATACAAAGTCGACTCATGAAGAAGTACGTTCGCAAACTTGCGCGCACGCAGTACAGTGACATGCCAAATTAAAATATTATAAGAGGCCTATATATAGTAGTTATGTTTTCCTAATTTATTTATGTGAAGAAAAAGTGCATAAATGTATCACGAGATTAAGCTAATCTGGTCAATCCGTTATATCGTTTGCGCGCTTCCAAACGTCACGGATTAATCTTGCATCAAATTGGTACTGTATATCGCTTGCGCGCTTCCAAAGGTCACAGACGTTTGTGGAATTATAAGTACTGTACGAAATTGAAAAAACAGTCGTCGGTACTAAAAAAAGAGTAGTTAACCGATAAGATTTATTCAAGTTGAGGTCTACACAATCACATAGAAGGTTAAACGAAATACATCCACGTCATTACTGTAAATTTTATAATTGAAACCAGATAACCCATGCTATAGGCATACATGTAATTCATTGTGAAAGTAGAATATATTATTCTACATTAGAAATAATAATGCAAAGACAGTTCATCAATTTATATTCATAACTCATAATAATTTTATTTCACTCCAAACTCAGAAGTCTGTTAGGCGAAAAAGGACCATGTCCCTGTGCCTACCAGAAAAACAATAATAATAGCAATAACAATAATGAAATAATATAAACAACAATAATAATAATAACAACAATAATACGGTAATAATTAATAATAAACAATAATAATAATAATAGGGGCCTAATAATAATAATAATGACAACAACAACAATTGATAATTACACCCGATTCTACCTAATAGATCAGATAAGTATCAGTTTCGGTGACATCAACATTCATGATGCCGTCACCAAACCTGATTAGGGGATTCTGATCAGATGATTGATGACTGGTGCTGTCACCAGTATATAAGTGTGTCAACATTTTATTTGTGACCGAAACTGATCACTTATGTAGAATCGGCGAATTATTTTAATAAGTGAATTCTGTTAGTTATTAAAATTATTTTTGATTTAATGGTGAAGTAAACAATAAAATAACATGTATAGAGGGCCGGACTATCGTGATAGTAATGATGTTCTCCTGAAAGACTAGATTGTAGAAGACGTGTTAAAATAGGAAGGCTGTTCTAAGTGATTGGATTACAATGAAAAATGAGTTGTGAAGTGCATTACATCTGGCAGGAAGACAATAGAGTATTGGGTGAGGTTTACGGGTATTATATTAATGTAGGCCTAATTATGGTCGATTTGGATTTTGTCAATTATTTTATATATGATAGACTAAGAAATATTCTTCTGTTTTCTAATACAGTAAGATTAAGGCGGACAAGTCTGTCTTCGTATGATATGTATATTTGGATAGCGAGCAGAATTCAAGAAGAATCGGGTAAATGTCTTTGGAGGGACTTGCGTAATGTTATTGAAGATGGGGGTTCCAGACGACAGATACGCGCGAATCGGTATAACAAGAGAATTAAACAAAATTAAGGAAAGGGGTGACGATTCAAGTAGGCCTACGTTAAAAGTAAAGGGTTTGAAAGGCTTTTGAAACAATGTTTCCGACACGAGAGTGCCATTTTAGATTGGAAAAAAAATAACGCCAAGGTATTTGTTTGTGGAAGGAAACAAAATCTAAAGATGAATTCTTAACAAAGTAGGCCTAATTGGGATATAGGATATTTCTTATGACACACACATAACTTTATACTCCTGACATTGCTTTTATCAGTGGACAACCCGATACATTATATCACAAAGAAATTCACTGTACTGTATTGATAACTTATATCTATAGGTCTAAGCAATTGGACTGTCGGATAATTGTTATGGAACGCCCACAATGCATTCAGCGGCGGCTATAGCATTCGGCTGCGCATTTACCATTCGGCGACCCATTGCATTCGGCGTGTTTGGCGTGCGGCGGCGACTTTTTCATTAGGCGGAGACTATGTATTCGGCGCATTTGGCATGCGGCGGCGACTTTTTCATTCGGAGGCGACTTTTTCATTCGGCGGCGACTTTAGCATTTGGCAACTACATCATTCGGCGACTTAGCATTCGGCGGCTAAACCCTACATCATTCGGCGACTTTAGCATTCGGCGACTATAGGCCTATATCAATTGGCGATCATCCCATACGATAAAATGGGTAATTTCCAACGCCTGGTTACAAGCCTAACTTTCATAGCTGTATATTTGTTGTTAATCTAGTTCTTCTTGTTTGTGTTTGTGCTTTTCTACTACATTTGAACAAGAATAATGATAATACACATGATTATTATATTTTGATGTTATTTGTAACACTAATGAATAAATTCGTGTGTCTAAATGTGACATTTAAACGGGCTCGGTCGTTTAGTCCAGTGTCCTTGGCCCATCCAGTATACTCTGGAGTGTTTGAAATGTAACCTCATACTTGACACTTTATAATACAATCCTCGGAAAGCATTTCAACGTGTCATAGGTTTTGTAGGTGGTCTAATTTATACAGTATTGTAATTATGTAAATAGGCCTTATTCTAGTTAATGTTCATAAGAATGAGAGCTGTGTAAATTAAATATAATGCTGGGACGCAAGTAGAATGAATAAAAACTATGTAGACGTTATTGACGTTTAAACACGAAATAGTAAAACATTAAAAAACGCATGATATACATCACAGAACTACATTAAATTTGCAGCTTCCCGCCTCCAATACTTTTATTAAAACTATTGTATTTGTCTTACATATGTTATATCCTGTTAACTATATTTTTATTATTTATAGACCTACATTTTATTTGTTTAATTTATTGCTCAATATACTTTTAGTGTTATTTTAATCGCCGCTTCCTTTTTCTACAGTTATTTAATTATATCCCTATGTTTAACATTTTAATATTATCATTAGCTTATATGCTTTCCAACAACACAACACATGATCATTCATTGTGTTTGCTTACCCCTTCAGCTGTACCACTATTCGGCCAAGCAAATTTTACGTATCTGAGTATTCATTACGGGTAGGCCTACAGTATTATATAATTAGTATAGGCCTATATATACAGTAGGCCCTGTCTCTTATACACATCTAGATGTGTATAAGAGACAGCATGTATAGAGGGCCGGACTATCGTGATAGTAATGATGTTCTCCTGAAAGACTAGATTGTAGAAGACGTGTTAAAATAGGAAGGCTGTTCTAAGTGATTGGATTACAATGAAAAATAATAGAGTGCTCAACAAAACAAATGTTAAGGAGCTATAATAAGTTAAATCAATCGCCGAAAGTCGCCGCCGAATGATAAAGTCCAGCCAAATTCTATTTGCCCTGAACAAAAAGTCGCCGCATAAGGCACTGTGGGCGTTCCATAAATTTCATGATACCATCGTCGGTATATAAGATAAACCATAGAGAAAAAACCTACACTATATATAAGCATAGAGAAAATAGAACAGATCAGTAACGTAACGCAGTAACTCGTTGATAATGATCTGACCTAATGTTACACAACTGTTGATATTTCAATAGTGTGTAAGCTTGCCTATGAGATGATAAACTCAAGTAGCAAACACGAGTGTAACTGAAAAGGGTTCAGCCAAAGGGTATAGTGTAAAGAGACAAACGTAATAAATGGATCGGGATACCGTATAGTGTAAAAAGCGTAAGCATGAAAAGGAGCAGTGGTAGCGCCAGTTGTGTGAGGGGTGGAGAAAAACTACGAATCCTCGAGGATAACAAACAAATTATGTAATTTCTACAGTCTGTTGGAGCCCTAAATTCGGTTAAACAAGTCTCTCAAATGATCAAATCCCTAAATATAAGTTAGAGCTTTCGGAGCTTCGCCCAGTCCCACTTCCAATGGTTCTGGACAGCCCCTGTCTCGAACCATCGCCAACTTACTCTCTCGTCGGATCCTCGTCGGGCAAGTCCTAGAGCCAGCCATGAAAAGGACATGTTTAAAGTTAACAATCGTAACAAAAAGGTCAAGCATGACAACGAGAATATGTAAAGAGGAGAGGACAGATTGGCAAAGGGGTTGGGCATAATGCAAAAGGAGAAAAAAACGTGACAAAGTAGAGAGAAGTTGACAGGCACTTGGATAATTAAGTGGGAGTGTGGTAAGAATGTTACGAACGGGCTAAAGGCATGGTAAACAAACTCGCAGTGTACGACAAGGCAAAGAAATATTCATAAAGGGTAGTGTAACAAGCAAAAGTGTAGGACAGAATATTGCGACAAAGGGACCAGGGCCGTGCATGACCATGAGTTAAGGGAAGAAGCATGGATTAAGGTCTTGACATGTTGTAAACACATACCTGCACGCCCCTCTTTCATTGGCAGATCTGAGGCGGGGGGGGGGGGGGGGGGCGGAAGGGAGGAAGGAACAATTCTAGACCATAATTATTTTTTCAGGACCCGTGAGCAGATTTTTTTTTTTGTTACAATGGAAACATTAGAAGTCGGGAAAGCTTATTCCCTGTCATCTAGGAATCAATACCGGTAGTTTCCCGACCCCCTTTTGGGGTTCATCGATTCATGGAAAAAAGAATACGTATGCAACTACTCAATTTTGTTTTTCTGTATGTATACCGGTACACATAATGGGCCCACTTACTATAATAAGAATGAGAAAAATTTACCTGACCGTTTTCTAGAGGGGAAACCTTGAAATTTGAAGAACTTAAAAGTTATTAAAAGACATTTTAGAAGTCGGGCATTTCCCGCCATCTAGAAATCAAACTTTTTCCGGGGAGAACCCGAACCACCCCCCTTTCTCTTTGGGGTTCATCGATTCATGGAAAAAAGAATAAGTATGCAACTACTCAATTTTTTGTATGTATGTATGTATACACACATAATAGGCCTGTTTACTGTTATAAGAATGAGAAAGTTTACCTGAGAAAAAACTTTGAATTTTGAAGAACTTAAAAGTCATTAAAAGACAGTTCAGAAGTCAGGATAGCTCATCTCCCGCCACCTAGAAATTAAAATTTTCCCGGGGAGAACCCGGACCTCCCTTTCTTTTTGGCATTCATCGATTCATGGAGGGAAAAAAAATACTGTACGTAACTACTCATTCTTTATATACACACATAATAGGCCTATTTACTGTAATAAGGATGAGAAAGTTTACCTGACCGTTTTCAAGAGGGGGTACACCTTGAATTTTGAAGAGCTTAAACATTTTCCCGTGGGAGAACTCCCGACCCCCCTTTCTTTTTGGGTATTTTCGAAACATTTTAACCCTCCCTACTAAATTTGAACCCAGATCCGCCACTGTCTCTTTCCTAATACCTTAGCAGAGCACCACAGTGTACCTAGCACGCCCCTCGTTCCTATTATCATTTTTATACACCTTATCTACCACGTCCCGTTTTACTATCAGAATTAGAAAGCATCTGCAGAAGTACTGGCACGTCCATAACAACCTAAAATATAACAGTACCCGGTGTTCACCTTCTTCCTAGAACTGTCACGGAGCACCCGCATCGTAGAACGCCTCTCTGTTCTCTCCCTAGAACCACTACAGAACACGCATAATGTCTTGAAAGCCTCTTGATTCCAGCACTAGTACAGAGCATCTCTTAAGATACCGTACCTTACTATGTACGACCGTCATTTCAAACACTAGCTGACACACCCTCCTTCTCACATCAGTGCCACGAAAAACAAAGTATTCAACCATTAATTATTCGTACTTAGTCTTTGTGATAATAAAAACGTGTACCGTTTGTGTAACAGGCTTTTGGTGACGGTTCAGTTGCGCAGTCGGTTTTAAGCAATTCGGAAAAAGGAGGATTCTTGTCAATCAACTGGGCATGGGGTGTCGGCGTTACCATAGGTGTATATTTTGCATCCGGGATATCAGGTTAGTTGTAAAGGCATGAAGCGCTATATAAGAACGACATATTATTATTATATACCAAATTTACAAATTTGTACGTACTCTCATTAAGCGCAATACGCAATTTCAAATAATGCCTATACAAGACTAGGTCTACAAGGTCAGTATTTCCATGCATGAGATGTCCACGCAACCACACTACAGTATGACAGGCAGTGGCGTAGCTAGACGTTTTGGCGCCCGGGACAAGAGTAGAAAATTGCGATCCCCTTCCCCCACCCGCCCCCCCCCCCCCCCAATTATAATTATAATATTTTGAAATAAATTGATATTGGTTGCATAGACTTTAAGCGTATCCGTACCGTACGTCCATATAATGCACTGTCTAAATAACATTATTTAAACCAGAATAACTTATTATTCTAGCTCTCATATGTTCTTTCTTACCAGGGGTGGCGCGAAAATTTGCCCGAGGGGGGGGGAGATGCCCTGGTGAGGGGAAAGATTTTTCCTTAACGAGAGTTATTGAAACTGCATTACAATGTTCGGAACTTTGTATACAACTTTACCATTATCCCAATTTGTAAGGCTGCTGTATTTATCGCATACAGCTAAGTATTCTTATTCTCTAAATTTATTTTATAGTAGCCTTGTAAGTTGCTGAATTCTTAACATTGTTTAAACTCACAACTGAATTTTGTGTGCTTGTGCATCAAATAAGTTAATAACATGATCAAAGTTAACGATGTTGTCTGCTTCATCACGCTCAATACTAAGTAGTGCCAAAGCAGATAGTCTCGCGTTTCCCATCGTGGCTCTGAGATATGGCAGGATGAGCTTTAGTCATGTAGTCATTACAGAATAGGATAAAAAAGAAGAGAAAACGGTCGAAATGGGCTGAAAAGAAATTACAATTTCTTTTCACAATTTGCCAATAAAAACAACAGGCCTACATTTAGATTCTTATTATTAACTGGAAAATATTTATGCCTGACGATTTACATCAATTTCGTCGTGTTTTTCTAAAAAGTGCTTGTTTTTTTACTCTAATTCTCCCATTTCAGCGCCCCTCAAACCTGGCGCTCAGGGCACGTGTCCCCTTGACCCCCTAGCTACGCCACTGATGACGGATATGTATTTACTTATTTCAACACAAGTAAATTGTATACTTAGGACTACCGTATGTGTTTATTTTAGGTGGGCATCTTAACCCAGCAGTTACGCTAGCGTTCGCTAGCATCGGCCGTCTGTCTTGGAAGAAAGTACCCTTCTACATGCTTGCACAATTGCTTGGCGCTTTTACAGCAGCAGCGTGTGTATTTGGAGTCTATTCAGGTAGGTATAACATCTTTCAAAATATATATCACCAAAATTAATAGATAGAAGGATTGAAAAATACCATGTTATATTCATATTAGCATACAATATAGGCCTATTAATAACGCCGTGGTACGGTACCGTATTTCGACTTCAATTTGCTGAAGGTACGTTAAATGGAATTACGTCACCTTCACCCAATGAAGAGCCAGAATGTGCGTTACGTCATCTTTCAAGACTGGATTATTGCATATCATCCACGATGAGCGGTGAAACGCGAACAATAATGTTAAAAACACTGTGACCACTGCTTGGGATTTATCCCAAGATCTTGGGATTTTTAATGACACCCTGGGGTTTTCGGATTTTTTGTTAACCTTTCATTAAATTTTGGGATTTTTAGAATGATATGTAATTTCTAATTTTTTTCTTTCAAGAAGTGAATAGGCTAATAATGGCCTTATAACATCATAATGACAGTTATGAATGAGGGTTGTTTATTTGTTAAAAATAAAAGACCCATTGGAAGCTTAGTACCATACATTTTTTCAATTCTTTCTGATAAGGCTATTGTTTAAAGCCATATTCACCATTTCCAAAAATAATAAGTTGCATTTTCAAGTTAAATCTCTTGATATGTGTCACATTGGCAGATACACTGTTTGCTTCAGTACATAGGGCTGAAGGTGAGCAAAGAATATTGCACCTAGATGCAGGAAATCTTGCACCGTCTCATACTTTGCAAATGATTTTTATTGTGTTTTAATTTGACAATTAATGTCGAAATATTGTATCCCGACACGATGACGTGCATTTCGATACTTGGAGTATGTATTATACTAGGCCTATCTTAAGTTCGATAAAATTCATCGTTTGCTTAAATGACATGACTCTTATTACTGAGTGGAACCCTTACGCCTATTTATCGATGACAGTATTATAAGAAAATACTGTACTCTTGCCTAGTTTAGCTAATAATGTGCTAAGTACATTTCGCTATTCACACCGCTCACCCCACTCTTCATTGGGTGATGGTGATGTAATGCCATTTGAAGTAGAAATACGGTACCGTATCTGTAGCCACGCTAATAGTAATTATATTATCATAGTTGGTGAAAGTACGACATGTGGTCTAACGGTATGACACTCCCCCTTAACAGTGGGAGGGTGCATGTTGAAGACCTGCCAAAATATTTTATATCAAGTTGTAATCGAAATATTCGTTGCAACAGGGAGTAATTTCACTGTTCCCTGGTTGTAATAAGTTCTGGTGTTTCTAAAAGCAAAAATTACACGTATCTGAATGTTCCTCATCGTTACAAAGGTATATATTAGAACACACATGGATGCATCTTCTTCTAGTTGACGAGGAGTACATGAGTACCAAAATACACTAAACTTTGAAAGTACGTACTACACAGTGATAAACCACCTAACTCTGTGTATTCACTTGCAGAGGCGATTGATGCATTTGATGGCGGTAACCGATCCGTGATAGGACCCAAAGCTACAGCAGGAATATTTGCCACTTACCCGGCTGAATATCTGTCGGTGTGGGGCGGGTTTGGAGACCAGGTATTTAAACATTTTATAATTTAGAGTTGGAAACTATCATAGTCATCTGTTGAGTGTTATCACTGCCTTTTCTGCTACCACGAAATAACAGCTTCAATGCAAACATTATAGAACGAAAAATCATTTAACTTCTTTTAATTATTCAGTTACACTCGACAGCATTTTAGCAGTACTGTAATATTCTTTTTAAAATATCTGGAGAACGAAATGTGAGTGACTCATCAAGTTTCATGTAACGTCATCCTAAACATCATTATAACAGAGTGACTTCATCATATCAAACTTTAGAATCTTTTTATACAAACTTAAAGATGTTTTAAGCTGGGCACTCACTACGTCGTACGACCGTCGCGTCGCACGACGAATCCAGTTCCGCTCCCTGCTTGCACCAGATCACACAACGCCACCTGCAGATTGTCAGTGGTCTTCTGAACGCGGATCGTCATTAAAAACGCGTTGCGGCGCGCGCTTCGTCGCGTTGCGTTCTTCATGGAATTGCGTCGGCCGACGACCGTTTACAGATATACTAAATCTATAATTATAGGCCTATTAGGCTGCGCATGTATCTACATTGCTTCTCTCCACCCAGGAGTATAAATGGGTAGGCCTACCTCCTGCGCTGATTACAGCAGCACTTAAGCACGTACACCCTATGACACGACACAAACAGAAGCACTTCGTATCTACAAAAAAAGGTGCTATATAAATAACCGAATAATAATACTAATAATGATTATTATTTGTTATTGTCATCATGAATTGAACAATTAGAACAATTCCCAATTCCAATGAGACCTCATTTACAAAAAAAAAAACAAAAAAACAAAAAAACAAAAAAACAAAAAAAACAATTCAATAGCCCTATAGATTTTCTTTTCTTAACTTTCTTCCAGTCTTAGGTTAATTAGGCCTACTTGAATGTTTTGTCATGTTCAGTGGCCGGCATTATCATTCCATTCCTGTCAATTAAACATCCTACACTCTATATTGTGTGATTGGCTGCGATACACCGCGCGTCACGTTCAGTTAAAATTCCCAGGTTGAATATGACTGCCATAAAACATTTGTTGAAATAAATACTCAAATATGTCTTTCAGGTGTTTGCAACAGCACTCTTGATGGCTTGTATTCTTGCCATCACAGACAAGGATAACAATAAACCTCCAAATGGTATGGAGCCATTTATCGTAGGTCTAGTCGTCTTCGCCATCGGGCTTGCCTATGGGCTTAACTGTGGCTACGCAATTAACCCCGCTAGGGACTTTGGCCCCAGACTGTTAACAGCCTGTGCGGGATATGGCAAGGAAATTTGGACGTAAGTTACATGCGCATATCATTATTTTATGTTGGTCCAGATTGGTACTGTCACACCTTAAGGATTTAGTCAGCGTACGCCGACGTATCAAAATTTACTCTGAACTATTGATGTGTTTTTTTTTCAATAGCGTTTTTTACATAGCGTATTCATAACGAGTTTGACGTATACATAACGTAGTAACGTATGTTGAACGTTTTGATATCAAAGAAAACTTACTAACGAACGTTTAGCGTGTTTCCAGCATTCACAGCTTATGTTCAACGATAGTCTTATGCACAGCGCGTGACAGCGACGATCACCTGACGTAGCCTATAAAAAGGCTGCCGCTTATGGAGCGCGCTCGCTCATTATTCGGTTCTTGAACTGCAGTTCAATTAAAAATTTACTGCAGCGACTTCTCTGGCCTCTGATTGGTCAAAATATGCACAGAGGGCAGTAAATTATTTTCTGCTCTTTGATTGGTGGAAATATTCTGCAGCCCAGAAACTTGCTGCAGAAAGTTTAATAAATAGGAATGTTCCTAAACGCTTTACTACGATGTATTTGGTTCGTCGATGAATTATTGAAAGTCGGCCTGTATAAAACTTGTATTACATCACATGTTCGAAAGCTTTAAACGGTTGAAATATTATACTTCTAAACTCCTAATTATACACCCTTCTGGGCGTATCATTGTTATTACTGGTGAGATGATCGTCTGTTACAAAGTATTTGAGTTTACATCTCAATTTTATTTATTTAATGCATGTCGTAGGCTAGCCTAATTAACATAATCCAAGCCTATGCCTTGGACTATAGTAAAAATGTCCAACACATAGGCCTCGCTATTTGGTAGTGCCACGCCAAAAAAAAAAGAAAAAAAAAATTGAATTCAGATATTTTATTGAAGCATATTTATAAACTGTTCCTATTCTGTTAGTGGCAAAATAAAAATAATACTGGTATCTACCATTTGACAATTTACAAGCTTAGTGGTGGCCATGATGGGAATAGGAATTTCACCAGTGGTCATCAATCGTCGTATTTAAGGCGCTCATGTCTGACAGCAAACGTTGACCTTAGCCTCTATTTAAGTGTACAGTACATAATACTCACGGTTTGCTAAAAAAAAAAAATCAACTATGCCACTTTTGGTACAGCATTTTTTTGTTCATATTTATGAAATGTATTATAATTATCCCTTATTAAAATCATTATGATAGGCCCTATTAGGAATATACATCAATAAGATAAAGTAAAACAGGGGTGCCGCCAGGGGAGGGGGTCGGTCCAGAGCCCCCGCCCCCACCGTCGGGAAGAGCTCCCCCCCCCCGTCGGGGAGAAAAAGCACAATTCGTCGGGGAGAAAAAAAATTGTATGTATGTAAAAAAATGTATTTTCTACATATTAGTAGACTCTAAAATCGATTAAATAAGCCTTTGAAACCCCTAAATTGTTAAAATTTTCGGGGGCCCCGGACCACTTTCGAAACCTTTTAAATCGAAGCTCGACCACGCCCACATTGCTTTCTTTGGGGAAATATGACCCCTCGTCGGGTGCATCGGCTCCCCCGTCGGGGACCTCGCCCCCTCCCCCCGTCGGGAAAATCTTGGTGCCACCCCTGAAGTAAAATAATATTATTTTTTAGGGAATCCGGTAAAAGGGAAAAATAGGTTGCTTTTCAATGACACTCAGGTCCGTGCAATGACTATTTTCATTTATCTTGTATATATTTATGCTACTATTATTGGTCTGTAAAATGCATATCCACACTAGACATTGAAGTTGTATTAACATCACCCTATCAACATCACCCCATTTTTATATACCAATTCCCCTAAAAGCTGCCAATATGCCGTTTTACAGTAACTGTAAGTTCAAAACACGTTCAGTAAGTTCTGTGGTCGTCCGGAACACGTCAACATGCGTTGGAGAAAAGTTCGATATAAGTTACATATAGTTTTGGATACGCTAGACATTATCTTGACGTATTTCGACTTTTGAGTATCTAACTCGTGTAACGTGTGTCAACAATCGCATCTTGCATACAACTTATGAGCCATACACTGGTATACGTCAACAAGTTTTGTGCATGCACAATATTTTTTGACGTACTCTTCCGTACTAGGACGTATACCAGCGTGCTTCAGCGTGCTCTTAACTTATACGCTGCTCTCCCACCTAGGTTTATGTCACCTAAGAGTCGTACGATTTCTACGAGTTAAAACTCGTGATCTTTGGAAAGGACCTATACGAGCTTATTACGTGTTAGCTACGAGTGAGGTACGACTTTATGGAGATGGTTACGAGTTATGTACGAATTATGCCGAGCAGAGCACCGAGTTAACTACGAGATTATTAAGAGCGTAACAAGTTTGTACCGAATTAGATACGAGTTAGGTACGAGCCAACTTGGTGCGCTCGTACTCGTTTCGGGGTGCTCGCATCAATCTCGTAGATGACAAAACCGCCGACGAGTATCCAGAGTAGTGTACGAGCTAGGTAGGAGTACCCGAGTACTCTACGAGCTACCTACGAGTTCTTCGAGTTTACTACGAGTTATCTACTCGTGGCGATAATTTTGAACATGTTCAAAATTAGCGCCACGAGTTCAGAGCTGCTACGTGTAGGTAGCCCCTCTCCCACTAGGGTTTTTTTCAGCATACGAGTTACAAGAGAATGCCGAGTTGCTAACTCGGCAAACTCGGCAAAAACTCGTAGGACGATTCGGAAAGCTCGGAGTGGACTCTTACCTACTCGTAGAAGCTCTGAACTCGTAGCGCTAATTTTGAACGTGTTCAAAATTATCGCCACGAGTAGATAACTCGTAGTAAACGAGTACGAGTAAGTACGAGCGCACCGAGTTAACTACGAGACTATTACGAGCGTAACAAGTTTGTACCGAATTAGATACGACTTGGGTACGAGCCAACTCGGTGCGCTCGTACTTACTCGTAATTTGTACTCGTTTTTGGGTGCTCGCATCAATCTCGTAGATGACAAAACCACCGACGAGTATCCAGAGTAGTGTACGAGCTAGGTAGGAGTACCCGAGTACTCTACGAGCTACCTACGAGTTCTTCGAGTTTACTACGAGTTATCTACTCGTGGTGATAACATGTTCAAAATTAGCGCCACGAGTTCAGAGCTGCTACGAGTAGGTAAGAGTCCTCTCCGAGCTTTCTGAATCGTCCTACGAGTTTTTGCCGAGTTTGCCGAGTTAGCAACTCGGCATTCTCTTGTAACTTGTATGCTGAAAAAACCCTAGTGGGAGAGGGGTTACCAATAACTTATTCGACGTACGGCAGCGTTCGCTAAATTGTTCATACGCTGGCTAAATCGTCAAGGTGTGACATGGCCTAAAATAATTGAATATAATACAGGTATGTTAAAGTTAAGATGATGTGAGGATAAAGATGATTATGATGATGAGCACGTGTACTGTAGGTGCTGATCATCCTTTTTATTTGTTTACAGGCCAAGGGGCATACATTGGTGGTGGGTTCCGATAGTCGGGCCGTTCGTTGGCGCAATCGTCGGGGCAATTACCTACCTTATCGTCATCGAAATACACAACACTGAAGATAACGAGGACAAGTACACTCAGGAGCTGGTCGGTACGTGAACGAAGACGCTATAATGATCATATCATCACGTGTGAACATGGCCTTCATTGCACGATTATCATTTCACCTGTACCATTCATGCGCATAGCTGAGTGACGTTATAGCCCATGCCACTATGCGTTCCGTCATCATTGTAGTACAGCACAGTACATCCATGCTTGTGACACATTCATGATTTTAACACGGAAGAATTGGCAACCATTACCAGAATGGGGCAGACTATAGACTTTAGGTTCCCCCAATGCCAATAGCACCTGCATGTATACAGAACTGAGAGTGCTGCTGTCTTGAGTGTCCATACATCTTGGGGGGGGGGGGGTGCTAGGTTAGAGCTGGGGTTTATGCATTTGAATAATGGGGTACCGCTAGGTACCAGGAAATAGCACTTTCACACTTTAAAATGTTTTTTTAGTGTTTTCATATACATAAGTACACATATTTCGGTATCGTTATTGAAAACAACAATGAATCCTTGGCAACAAATGGCTGAATTGGGAATTCAATTACTTATTAATTCTATTACTTTTTAAAATAATACCTAAAAGTATTTTCGAAAAATTGAGGCATGAGATTATGTAAAGGCCTGCCTAAACCTTAACTGCAAGCGTGAAACAGCTGCTGGAAATATTCTGAGCCGCCATTTTTAAAATTACAAGTTATAGATCAACAAGCAAAATTGTTGGTATTTCATTTGTGAATTGGCTATTTAATTTTTGTGACGAAGACTCAAGGGGACGCGAGAAAGAGAACTTGGGGCGTTTGTAACTCAGTTGTGTTCTACCCAACAAAGAGGATGTAGATTTTGTAGGGAAATTACGCATCCCTCGCCTAACACGATTCATGTGCAAGTACGAGACCGAGAGGAGGAGGTTTGTAGAATGTCTCCTTCCAACGACTGGGTGATTAACATCATTGTACCTTATCGATATACGACTCTTTTATATTGAATTCTGGGCACTCTCCCGGTTCTGTCGCATACAGTACAGGCCTGCATGATGTATTTTACAAGTCGAAGATTGGATATGATTAGATTGGATTATATTCTCAATCACAATTGCAAAACTGTAACGCAAAAACGTTTAGGACCAATGTCATAAATGAATTGTTAGACATACAGTATGACATCATAAATGTCCGTTGTGTTCTTAAATGTCAACTGGGGTAATTACTGACTGGATATGCAAGGGGAATACCGTATTCATATTTATTAAATTGCATTCAACCTCAACCCCAATCTCCTCTCCCACCATTGCTTTCAATTGTCAAGTAGTTCGCTGTAAATTTATTGAACACACGTGTCATTTCAACCATAGAGCACATGATACTGCTATGCATTGGTCATTTGACAGAGGTTGCGGCTCAGCCATCACTCGTCTCATCATTACATGTAGAAGTAATATATTTATAACGCGCGAAACTTCCTGTCTTAACATTAGACTGTATTTATACCGAATCCGAATTTTCGGATCGGAAGGCCTACCGAACCGATCAGAAGAATAGGGACGCTGGCGTTCAGCACATTGGAAATGCTGTCCATCGGATTCGATGTGAATGCAGTTTTGGTCCACATCTAGATCATAGCTTGATTGCAAAGCCATCTACCGTCAAATTTTGTTTGTCCAAAAATGTAATAAATTTTAACTAACATGTTTAGAAAGCTGTGATTGTATACATGGGCCTCCCATTAGGCCAGCGACCATCACACACGGTACCGGCGCCTCACACAATGAACTTAGGCCTATAACTTTATGTTGTAACTTTATTGGTGATTGGTGTTATTTTGTTTCTTCTAGTGAATGAAAAAGAGTGAATCATTGGCGGTCGATTGTCTTGCGAGAGACAAGGATGTATTGATAAGACGGATTTATTATTCATGTTTTGTCTTGTACAAAAATGGTTATTCGCTATCGGGATCTACAGTAGTTTCCGCTGCTAAAGTATAGCCTTCATTTATAAATATACGTTAAATTGATCAATTAAATAAATCTTTGAAAAAAATACGTTTTAAATACTACGTTCATTTGAATGAAACCACGACATTAAATTTATGCACTTAATACGCTTTAACATCTCCATACGCCGCTACCGAACCGATCAGAAGAATAGGGACGCTGGCGTTCTGCACATTGGAAATGCTGTCCATCGGATCCGATGTGAATGCAGTTTTGGTCCATCTAGATCATAGCTCGATTGCAAAGCCAACTACCGTCAAATTTTGTTTGCCCAAAAATGTAATAAATTTTAACTAACATGTTTAGAAAGCTGTGATTGTATACATGGGCCTCCCATTAGGCCAGCGACCATCACACACGGTACCGGCGCCTCACACAATGAACTTAGGCCTATAACTTTATGTTGTAACTTTATTGGTGATTGGTGTTATTTTGTTTCTTCTAGTGAATGAAAAAGAGTGAATCATTGGCGGTCGATTGTCTTGCGAGAGACAAGGATGTATTGATAAGACGGATTTATTATTCATGTTTTGTCTTGTACAAAAATGGTTATTCGCTATCGGGATCTACAGTAGTTTCCGCTGCTAAAGTATAGCCTTCATTTATAAATATACGTTAAATTGATCAATTAAATAAATCTTTGAAAAAAATACGTTTTAAATACTACGTTCATTTGAATGAAACCACGACATTAAATTTATGCACTTAATACGCTTTAACATCTCCATACGCCGTGCTTATTGCAACGACTTGAACATCATCAAAGATGACACTATGTTTTAAGTCTGACCACACTAAAGCAACCTCTTAGTTACCAGGTAAATCAACTTCCATTGCACTGTGTGAGGTAAAGCAACTGTCAATGCACTGTGTGATTATCATTCAATATAAAAAAAAACACTTGCAGAATAGATGGACTAAACCGTAATATTGTGCTAAGAAGTAAATAAGGTCTATAAAAATGTATATAGAGGCCCATCTGACCAGTCATTCGGCTGCCCTGAGATATGACTTATAATTATTGTTTTTCTTCTCCAAATGTATTGCGTACCCAATGCGATATACTTTAATTGATTTATGTAGTTTCCATAGCAATAATCTTTCAATATGTTTTATGCTGTTTTATTGTCTTCTAGTCTATACCCCAGATGGACCTTAATCAGTGCGCTGCATGGTACGACTTCTAGGCCTACGTCTTTCTTAAGTCTGTTATCGTCTCATGCCCTTGGTCAAATTTATATTGTGAATAGCTTTCCAAACGAAGGTTCTATTTGTTGGCAGCATGTGACTTTTAAATGAAATTTTGTTGAATAAATAAATATAGTATAAAAGTGTCAAAATCTACAAGGTATGTATTTTTAAAAATCAAATAGCATATTAACGACGATGACGATCATAATGATAACAGTGCATATCGCCATCTTAGTTCATATTTTTGAAAAGTTATGTTAAACATTTGCGTTGAGGGTGGAAGGCGGTAACTGAAAAAGTTAATGTGATTGGATGTGCAACTTCTAGGCCTAGTTCCATTAAGTCACATCACAATTTCACGCAATGAAAATTGCACTATACATTTTACTGTACAGTACTAATCGTTTAACTTTAATGGTCTCATATTCATCGTTCTTTCATCACATTAATGCACAGTATGGTCTTCATGGAAAACTGTTAGATCGAATTCTTTATTAATGTTAAGTTATCAGCGTTTTTCTCAAAATATATCAGAACGAACTCAATGTGTGTCAATTCGATTACTGACAAAGAAAAGCACAATGAAGATATAACTGCCATGAAAATCTACATTTAAATAAATTACTATGTATTTTTCAATACGTTATTAGCTTGCAATTGAAAATTAGAACAAGAATCTGTGACCAAATCTAATAAATATGTTTTGCTGTTTACTTAGATAACATATAGTGGGATTGAATAGCCTGGTGGTTAACTTGCTTGCCTTCCAATCCCAAAGACCTGGGTTCAATTCCTGTTATATATTACGTATCGTGTGTGTATGTACTGTATGAAAGGAATTGTCATCTACTAGAAAAGTGATATATTCACTATTGACAATCCTTGGCGGATAAGTGTTTAAGCATAAATAAAAAAACATTTTTTTTTAATAGACCTCTATGATATATTTGCAAGGAATTACAGAAATACATTTAAAAAAATTACAAAATAGAGAAATAAAGAGGATAGAGTGTACAGTGTTCAGTGGAAACAGTCTAATAGGCAGGAGGTCAGTGCTAGTGCAATTTGCTTTCGAGAATTCGTAGTGCTTCAACCGACAAGTTAAAAGAGAGTCTGGTGCGGCTAAATGCCTTGAGTGGTGGAACAGATGTAATCACTGAAAAGGTCATTCTTCTATATAAGAAAGCAGCTACTTATTAAGAATGCACTTTAAGCCAGGCTCCGGATGAAAAAAAAATGTCTTGGTTGTAGAACAAAACCACCCTTTTCTGCCTTTCCTGCAGTTTTTAATATTCAAAAATCTATATCTCATGAACTATTCACGAGTTTTTCGTCAAATACTGTATGTCTTAAAAATCAGTTGTACAACATATCAAACATTTTTTACTCTGGAGCCTGGCTTTCAAAACCAGTAATATTGGTCGATAGGATGGCTCTGATCTTTCAACAAAAATTGTGGGATTGGAATATGATATAAACGCTGGTAGTTTATTCAAGTGGCGCAGAAACTGTGGCTTTGCGCAGGGTTGGGAACATAAAGGTTGAGAAGGTATCTTTTCTCATTTCAACCGAACCGAAATACGGGTTTGTTCAGATATAATGTGTTTCATGTTTTATGAAATAGTGAGATTAAATACCAACTGTGTCAGTTGCTTATGAACAATGTAACTTTCAATTTTTATGGCAGTATATCTTTAAATGTATGACTAATAAATTTCTTTTCATTCATTTCATTGCATTTCATCAATGTACATAATGCTGATCACATGCTAGTTTTTGGGCCTCTGTTTAATGTTGATTGTTGTTCATCATAATATAATCCGGTATTGTTATTTATTGAATACATTAGCATGATCTTTCAAACAACTGCTAATTTTGAATACGGTTTTTTTTTATGAAATAGTGAGATTAAATACCAACTGTGTCAGTTGCTTATGAACAATATAACTCTCAATTTTTATGGCAGTATATCTTTAAATGTATGGCTAATAAATTTCTTATTCATTTCATTGCATTTCATCAATGTGCACAATGCTGATCACATGCTAGTTTTTGGGCCTCTATTTAATTTTGATTGTTGTTCATCATAATATAATCCGGTATTGTTATTTATTGAATACATTAGCATGATCTTTCAAACAACTGCTAATTTTGAAAATAAAACTGAATTCAATGCGGAATATGGCGTAGATGTGCATGTTTTATATATTTACTTGCTAACAAGATATATTTTAAGACTCATTGGATTATTTGTTTTTTTAGGATTGGGGAAGGACAGACCTGTCGAAGGAAATATTAACAACATTGCTGTTGAAAGTCCCTAGTCCTCTTTCAGTCATTTATCTCTCACATTTAAGTTTTTCCGCCTCTGGTTCTGTAGAGTTTGGCAACTGAATTGGAAAAAAAAAAACAAAAAAAACAAACTTGGCAACTCATCAAATTCGAAGTGAACTCGTAGGACAACTCTTAAGGAACTAGAAAAGCAATCGGTTCTACTTGTAGCAAGCTCGGAAAGGTAGTCAACTTGGAAGAATTTGTATCAAACTCGCGTTGTGTTCCTTGGTGAAAAACCGCCAACGTTTTCTGAGTTATTTAAAGTTAGGTAGGATATCATGACTACACATTTCCTAAAATTTGATATTTGAACATGTCACCGTCACGAGTTAGAGCTACTACGCTGGCCGAAACGTTTAGATTGTCCACCTCTAGTTGGAGACCTGCTTAAAGTCACTAGTTGAGAACGCGTAGTCAACTCATGATAGCAGGAGAGGAAACCTGTAGAATACTCGGGAACTCGTCGGCTGTTTTCCATCCATGAGTGTTTGCTACGAATCACTGTTTACAGTAAGTCGTATCAATTCTTGTAGTAAACTCGTTTTTGGCTTGAGATAAGTCCTAATTTCGGGAAGAATAATTTCACAATTCTGAAAACTTGTCGGTAACTTGCACGCACCTCGTATACAATTAAAGTTCATATTTCCGATGAGACCACACATTTCTCGAGTTTTTAAATCTTGAAAACTGGGACAGAGACAACATAAATGTGAGAGCTATTCAAAGCATGGGGGAATAAGTGTTTAAAGTAACAGTCCTACGTGTTTATGTAATTGATATCATGCATTTATCTACCCAGTAAGGGTGAGCCTGTAATCTACCCTTTAGGGTGAGCCTATTCATCTGCCCATTTAGGGTGAGCCTATTATATAGGAGATAGGAACTCTAGGTCAGCCTATATCCATCCGCCCTCTATTGTTGAGCCTGTAATGTACCCTTTAGGGTGAGCCTATTCATCTGCTCATGCCGAATTGTACTCATCCTCATGTACTTGTTCTAGAAACAGACCCACGCTCACCTTTGGATACTGAAAGCGGCCAGTATACTGTAAAACCTCGAATTGAAGCCCTGGGCTTTTTCTTTTCTTCTTTTTTTTTTTTTTTGTTGCGAACTTTACTTCTTTTTTTTTTTTTTTTTTTGTTGCGAACTTTAATGGGCTTCTTTTCGAGGCTACATTTCAAAATGATTGCTGTAAATTTTGTGAATTTTGTACTATGAAATAATAAACAAGGCCACTGTAACATCAATCTGTATCATAGAGTGTATTTAACTAACATTAAATCAAATAACTACTGTATAACCAAGCTTGTTTTTAACTTATTTTGTTTTTTGAAATTCATATACAGTGTTGTACTGAACTATCTCGAAAAGAAGCCTATGCTATCTTGAAAAGAACCCATATGGCTAATTTTGCAAACTAAATAGGGGCTTCAATTCGAGATAGCCTTCATCTCAATATTAAGCCCATTGGGCTTCAATTCGGGGTTTTTATATTACATGAACATGTTGGACTGGTAGTAAATTATAAAGTATTAAGCTCAGGTGAACTATTTTAGTTACTTAATCGAATTACTATATTATTAGAGTTATTTAGTGGTGAAAATCAAGTTTATCAAATCTAGGCCTAATGATATTTGAAACGCAAATCACTCAAAACGGCCTTTTCAACGCTGACTTCATCTTCTTGGTTATTTACAATACAGTATACTGTAATTATCATAAATATGAAAAAGCGTTTAGGGAGATATTGAGGTTCCGCAACCTTGGGCCAAATTTACTAGGGCTTCCGTCGAGATTGAATTCTCTGCGCTAGGGCAAAATTTACTATGGATTCAGGCTCATGGGTTGACGAAATAAATTATCGAAAAACAATTATCGAATACAGATTATTAGGGCCCGACACTCAGGGCCTAGGCCCTGGTTTGGGCACCTATATTCACTACCGTATGAGGTATGAATAACAACAACTAAGTTGTGACGTATTCTTTATTTCCCAAGGTTACGAAAACTCCATATTTAATCTGTTCACACAGATTGTTGTTTATGTTGACATGATATAACCAGTTATATTACAACATTTTTTAGACATATGCCCATTTTATTTAATATCAATTTCTAATAGGCCTATACAAGTGTATAATTATATATATATTAGCATAGTTAATGTATTAATAATGCTAAATATTTCGATATGATGTATTAAAAACTTCATTATGGGTGCTGACTTCATGATAATTAAGTTTTATTGATAGTTATTAGCACAGCAACCTCATCGTTTGGTTAATTTAGCAGTGGTGGCTCTGGGATATACAATCAGAAAGGGCGTGAGGAGCAAGTATGTTGCAGTCAATCAATCAATCAATTATCTATGGTTTATACAGTATTAACACTCAATTAGTTAATAAAATCAACCGATATAGATGTCGTATGCCTACTGTACATTGATGGATGGCATACCATACTTAAAAACATCGCCACCAAGTAGCAATTTGGAGATGCTGATTACTGTATTCAATTCATTTGAGAAGGGTAGCTGTGACAATGAATGGCGGTGCAAAGCTTAGAGCCAAACCCCACATCGTGGTTTGATACTACGACAAGGTTTTCGAACTAAACGTATTATTTTGCCTATTCAACACAAAGTTATTGTGGCTGCATTCTCTAAGTTAGTGGTCTAAGTACAGTTGTGGGCATCGCAAACCATCATAATCTCTCCTTCGTAACCTCCTTCTTCAAGGGATTTCATTCTGGGACCCTGATCGAAGCTCTAATAAAAGGTACAGGAGCTTATATCTGTCTACGCGCTATCGCTTAGACGAGCTATATCATAAACAGGATTAGAAACAGCTACATCACTTGATATATCCGGATCCTTGGCGTAATGGTAGCTAGCTTGGTTCTCTGTGTGCTCTCTCTGCATTACTCTTTTTGTGTATTTATGACGTGTTGCTAATATGCCACCGGACACTAATATCAGACATAAAAGTATTACCGTAAAAGATATGAATAATTTCGACACAACGTCCAGTCCGTCATCTCCAGCCTGGACAACTGCTTTCGGCAGGGGCACATCGTTGTCTGGCGAGATCTTACCTGTTAATACAGGAGAATGAGTGAAGTGAAAATTATTATAATTAAGCTATATAAAGGCAATCCAAAATATGTTCATTATAAGTTAAAGAACAGGTTTCGCTGCACTTTGTCAGCTAGAATAATGTGTATGTGGCTCCAGGTGTATACATAGTCGACAAGCTAATCATTGGTCTAACTCGCGCTCTATCAATGCTTGAATGAGCCGCTCTCAACTAAGATTAGCACCAGACCTAATTTTTTGTTTGCTAAGAATCTTAAAAATATGATACGATACTCCTTTATTTTCATTTTAACAACATGGTAAAGAATCGCGGTTAATCGAGAGTACACATATTACCCATAGTATCAATTGATGAGAATCTCCATTCAGTAAAAAAGGTAGACTGTTTCATAAAATATCAAATGACAAGAATCTGTTTTAGATGTTATAACACAAATAATGATATTTTTTTTTTATTAGAGCAATGGAAAGCATATTTCCATTCATCGAATGGAACAGTCAATCTTTCAACTCGTAAAAATATTCTTCTCATTGCTCTCATAAACATTTATTATCTGTATAATATTTATGAACTTATTATAGGGCTAATAGTAATATTAACTATAATAATTGTTCATTGAAAAATTATTTTTCCCTAACCACAGTAATTACCTGTACAGGCACCAGTGTTAATAATGACGTCATCCAAAGCAATGTAGCCAACTTGCCCAAATCCGACAACTCCTTCAAACATAATCTGCAACGACATACAATAAAACTCATAAAGAAACTTGCATTGCTTGGTTTTTCAACAAAAGAAACCCATTAACATTATTGCTGCCTAGCATTTCAATTGTAATATGGAAAATAGCCAATATACTGTAGGTCTACGATGCATAGATGGGAGGAAATCTTAGAATTTGCAAGGATGGCCTACAACATAGGGTTGTGAATAAAATAAATACTAACCTTTGACATGCCTTGGTCAACTGGTAATTTGAACTGGCAACTCTCCCAACCATTCTTGGTTTCTTTGTACGGAACAGTTCCTATTAGACGGAGAGCGTCTTTTTTATCCAAAGAGTAAATGTTAAGTTGTTGCTGTACATCTCCTACCTTAATATATTTGAAAGATAAACACCGTTGCGTGCCGTTAGATGTCGTAGTGCTGGTGGCAAGGTTGGCTTTATCACCTTTCTTTCTCCCAGCCATAGTGATGTAGGCAAAACTTTTTTGACCTAGAAATGATAATATGCAACAGAATAATAGGCCTAAATAACGACGGCAACAACAACACCACCTCTTAGGCAATGCTGAATCCTTTCAGAAAGATTAATTCAGATGCATTGATCAGTTTTTGAGATACCTAGGTTTCGGACGTTCCCTATAATTGATGTACACCTAAAACTGTAGGCAGGAGGCTGCTAACACACACACACGCAGGCAAACACACAAAGAAATTTGTATGAACATTTAACCTCATTGGCGGAGGTAATTTTAAATAAAATACACATGGAAAACAAGAATAAAATCATAATAAAAAAAAAACAATATTTAGTAAAGAAAAACTCATAGAAATTAACTTGACAGTAATAGCTGCAATGGTAATAGTGAGGGAGTTATGAGGACTCGTAAACATTGTGCACTACAGTATATAACCAATCCTGCGTAGGTCAGTGTATTTTTAGTTCCTCTAACTTGAGTGATATGGTAATTCAATGATTAAGAACGAAAATTTGTTTTGGAAAAAGATCCAAGCATGGAAAGTGACAAAGTGCCGGTCAGAATAAAACCCTGTGCAAACAGATAGGAAAAACAAATGGAAGAAAGTACAAACCTCCAACTACACATAATTCTTCCCCTGTGTAACCTTAAATTGTCTTCGTATCCACATTTCCATTTGGATGGTCCTCAAGTCCCCACCCTACTCCGGATAGTCACAATAATTTATAATTTCTTCATTCAACCATAACAAACAATTTTGCAAAGTTTCATTTCGATCCATTGATAAGTATTTAGGATATCTGGTCTGGGACGTTTTCATTTCAATTGGATGGTTGAGACATTAAGGTCTGGGACTTCAGCACTTTATCGTCACTTTATTCACACCTGAATTTGCATCGTCACCAACATTTAATAGTTTCTTTATTGTAATTTGTTTAAACTTTCTAGAAAGTTTCATTCATATCAGTTGCTCAGTTATTGGGATATCTGACCCAAGACGTTTCCCTTTGATTGGTACTCATATCCACACCTTACTCCGGATTGTCACCAAAATTTAATAATTTTTTGATTGGATAACGACAAATTATTCTTAAAAGTTTCATTTCGATCTATTGATATGTTTTTTGAGATTCACACCTGAATATGGATCGTCATAAAAATATTATAATTTCTTTCTTGTAACATGGTTAAACTTTCCCGGAAGTTTTATTTATTTATTCTTTATTTTGCCAATAAAACAATATACACATCAAAATCCAAGATGGCAAGGAATGACCACAGTAATAGAAAATTTGGCTCTCAAGCTGGTCATTCCGTCTTAGAAAATAAATAAAAATACAAAAATATAACTTACTTAACTACAAAAGATTTGCAAGAGTTAAAATTTGATTAAGTAATGAAGAAGACCAAATATATGAAGCAAATACAAGATAGCCAAGAATATAGATTACAAAAATAATAAATTATTATTACAATTAATCATGAATTATCATTAATTATAATTATTCTATTTACAATTAAAGTTGTTTAAAATTGCAAAACTTGTTAAGCAAAAAATTGATTTATATAAAAATATATAATTATTATAATATTCATCCACATTCCCGGATCACTAAAATTTCATCTGCTATTAAAATTAGCTCATTTCATTGGTTAGTTTGATAGTTATTGCTTGCCAGCTGTCTTCAGCTGAACTACAACTGGGACTTGATTTAGTTGTAGCAAAGATACTAGAAATACAAGATAGAGCACTCGCATAGCAAAAATGAGACGGAAATTGGTCCAGACGTACGCGGCGCCGTTCTCTTTTTATAATGCAAGTTTTCTATACTTGGTCCAGACGTACAGGGTGCCCTTCTGTTGCTACAGTAGGTACATCCAGATGCACATGGCGCCCTTCTTTCTCTACTACTGGAGGAAAACTTTATTACTAATCAGTCCGGTCATACGATTTTGAACCTGTCATTTTATTGTTTTGATTTATTTATGCCTACTTGTTTGTATCTTATGCATAATGGCAACGATTTCAACCTCCACAAAAGGAGGTTATGTATTCACAGTTATGTAACGCTGGCAGAAGTTTTTTAGATCCAGCTGTACGCGGTGCCCCATTGCTTGTATTCCCACCATGCATTTCGGTGGAACAGTTCTTTTCTGTGGAGAACTTTAGTCGAAACTTTTACTACGATGTTTGTGCATACAAATTGATGTTTAAGTTGCAACTAAGACTAAATGAAGTTCTAATTTGAAGTTCGAATAAAGTTCATTTTAAGAATATGGGCGCGAGTTCAGATGTATTAACGATGGCCTCTTTACCACAACTAGGCATATTCCAATCAATATTGAAGTCGCCCAGTAAGGTGTAGCCATCATATTTGAATAGGTAACCCTGGATAATGGTGCAGGCATTTTGAAACGTTTCCATATATTAGGCCGGAGATCCAGGAGGCCTACATTGAAGTAAAAAAAGCCATTTGGTATCCTTACAGGTCACAACCACGGAGAGCAATTCAATTCCAAACTTCTGAAAAGATAAGGCTTCAGAAAGTGCGAGAGAATCATTTGCTATAATCGTCACTCCTCCACCAATAGTATTAGTTACACGATCAAGACGAAGAGACGTGTACCCTTTTAAATTTGACAGCATATGCATATCCTTAGAAGAAAACCATGTTTCGGTATTAAATACAAGGTTGGCTCTGGAGCTATCAATATATGCGATCAAACTTCATAACAATATCCATGCAGTCAAATACGGTATCAACTGTAAAGAAATATTGTTAGCACAGCGTTCTAGAAAAACGTTATAGATGGTTTTATAGCCCCAAAATTTCTTGACGAAACTGCAATAGCAGTTTTAAAAACAAATAGTCCATACAGCATACGGAAAAAGAAAACAACACCGACTTTGAAAGGTAAATCTTATCATTATTATTTACATTATAATTATTGTTACTACCATCATCATCACCCTCTCCAAGAAAACATGCATATATCTTATGGCTACGGAAAATATGTGCAATAATCAACACTTACGTGCACTGATTTCCGAGTAATTTGGAATATCAGGCTGACCTTCTGAGATATTAGATAATTTCCAGTCTAGTACGTCACTTAAGTCCTGAGAGAACCCACATTGTGTTATACCAGTCTCAAAGTCACAGGATAACAATGTTACTGTTGGATTGTCCTTTGTTTCTGACTGAAAGCAATAGTGAGACTCCAGCTTGATATCATCTATTGCAATATCCCCAAGATGTCCGTCTCCTATAACACCTTCAAAAATTAGCTTTGAAGAAAAAAAAACCAAATTTATTGAAACTGTATATCAACAAGTTGATTGTCAAACGCAGCCATAATTAGTAGTGATAATCAGAATCGCTGTCATTGGTTGGCTGAAATGCAAGTTACCATAGCGCACCATCTTTTGTGTGAGACGTTTCAGACGTTGGTCCAGTGTGCATTATGAATGTGGATTTTCTCCAGGTGTACTACCGAATCACCACCAGAAGGACCCTACTCAAAATAAGTCTTCAAAAATAAAAATAAGTCTTCAGACTTTCGCAAATTATTGTTGGTGTTTATAAATCCATCCATTCATTGTACCTGTATTTATTAATACAGTAGAACCCCTCCTTTGGGACACACCTATTAAGGGGACACATTTTCGACCACGAACCGATGGAAAGTATAACATTTAACACTACTTCCAACCCATATTCGGGGGTCCCGAATGTGTACCCTTAATAGGGGTTCTACTGTATATATTACCTGTATTAGTGTCTCAATAAATTCGTCTGTATCGTCATTTTTATTAATCGGGAGCCAAGCTTCGATCCATCGGTCACCCTGGTCACCATCCATCATCCACAACTGTTTACTAGTCCCTGTGCCATCTAATCGTCGGTACAGAATTAACTTCCCTACGTGCTCCCCTTTCATATGATACCAGAACTTTAAACACAGTAAGTGGTTAGCGCTTTCGACGAGCGGGGACACCACTCTGGCTCGTTCATTTGGACGGCGTGGACTTGAAGCTTCGACATAAAGATACTGCCCTAAGATAATAGTTGTATTTTATAAGAATACATGATGATGATTTTAAAATAAGCTAATATGAACGCACGATTAAAATTCACTCTATACTAGGACAAATAAATAAATATATGTAGCTTTTTCCTTTTTCAATTTTGAGCAATTTTAGAAATACTGTACCCTTGCGACTATTTCTTTGTGTTTACATCAGAACACAACGGTCTGGGGCATTTCATAGAGTGCATTACTGTGAACTAAAGAGTGAAGGACAGTAGACGTAATTATAAATTTGATCATTAACAGCATAAATAAACTGAATAATACAATGTACCTTTGGTATTGCCATACGTGTGATCTGCAGAAGGTCCTGTTCCTGTGGAGTCAGTTGAACCCTTGCGCAACTGCCAATCAAAGTCATCACTTTTCGACTGTGTGAAACCACACATAGATGCGTTGAGCTTGCCCTCAAAGTCACAGTTCATCGAAATGTTTGTAACGGGTAATAATATCACTGTATAATATACATTTTTATATATTATAATTTTAGAAGTGTTGTCTTTCGTCATTATCATATATTTAACCATGGAGGAATTAGTTTTATAGACTAAACTAATTCCTTCATGATTTAACTACCATTGATTATATAAAATCAACCATTGATCATGACATCATCATCATCACTATCGTTAATGTCATCACCACATACAGTATTACATCACCAATTGTAAACTAATATATCTTAGTTTTAACTAAGCTACCTCTATTAATAAATAATAATAATAATAATAATGAGTCAGAGTCAGAGTGAGTCTCATATAGGCCTGAAAAATATGATCTTGAGTGTTGACAAGGACCTTATTGTCATAAAATAAGAATTATATAGCCCTGGTTGATTATTGAATTAATGATTGTACAAACAGCGATCATCAACAAATACTGTATACATGATGTGATTCATCTCCCTAAAGGTATGTTCACACACACTGTGTAAGACTGCTGTCGCTTCCGGCGTAAGCTAATCCACGGATTAAGATTCCGAAGTGTTCACACAAACGGTGTTCGCTATATTAACGCTAGCGTTAAACTAGTAGTAATGCCTATGGGGGAATAGTTTTCAGTTTTAAATAATGTAAGGTTTCTTAACTGTAGTAAAATGTTTACAGTGCATCATTGAAACTTTTAAATCTGTGAATTGTTCGAAGTGAACTTTATGATTAATGTATTTTAAATGAACAATTGTACTTATGATTTTTCAGCTAGTATTGTGGAATATTTGCTGGTGTTGCAGGTTTTAAAAGACAGTTAGGTTAAAATATATTACAAAACACAATCAACAAATCATATACATTGTAAACTACTGTAAGTAAAATTCAATAGAAAAAGTACCCCTTTACCATTTCATTAATAGCGAGCACAGGAAAGCGATCAAAGTAACTAATCCATTGCAATCGTGATTGGTCAATCTCTTGAAATGAGGTCAAACCATTCAAGCGTTAATGACGCCACGAAGGTGGCATTGTGAGGTGGCGTAACGCTACTGCCTAGTTCACACACAAAGGTGTATGCTAGCCTTACGCCGTGTGTGTGAACATACCCTTAGGCTATGTTCACACACAGCGTAAGGCTGGCTTAAGCATGGCGTAGCGTACGCCTTTGTGTGTGAACTAGGCAGTGGCGTTGTTAAAGCCACTCACTACGCCACGTCCTTGGCGTTATCAACGCTACCTGCAAACCCCAGATTAGCTAACGTTACTGAGCTAACGCCAGTGATGCTTGAATGATTTTGACCTCAGGTCAAGAGAATGACCAATCACAATTAGCTTAGCTTAGCTCCGTTAGAACTGAAAACACGCGAACAGTTCACAGTGTTCTTCTTCGAGGGATTTTATTTTGAATGTGTAGGCCTATTGTTTGGATAAGAAAATCATACAGAATGTCGGCTCCTGCTCATTCCTCTTGGATTAAATACCAAAGAAGATACATCCTTAGTTACTCACGGCGAAGTTGTCTACGGCGAATTGACTTGATATACTTGACCAAAACCAAGCACGGTTTCCGTGTCTAGGCCTACATTATTTAACTCATGAGCTACACTTTCTTCAACAAAAAGAAATAAAAACGGCAAAAGCGAAGACAATAAAATGTTAGGCAACATAATCGATCGAAACAGCGTGTACAACAATCATGAAAGCATAAATAATAACAATGCGAGTACTAGTCTTCCCACCATCATGTACCGGAGGAGGCTTCTGACGCACTTCCGTTTTTAACGATGGATATTAATAGCGAATGCCGTTCGTGTGAACACCTTGGAATTTTAATCTGTGGATTAGCTTACGCCTTGCGTAAGCCACGCCAGGCCGTTTGTCAGAGTGTTTGACCTTCTTAGTTACACTGTGTAAATAATCAATGACAGTTAAGTGATAAAAAGATTTATTACACACATTCTCCACCAAAGGTTCCACTGTAAAGCAGCCTTCAAGGAGATCAGTTGTTTAATGGGTACTGAAACTATATTAAACATGTCAAACACTAATTCGTTTTCACCAGACCAGTCAGGTATAGAATGGTCAGCATAAGGTCTTGTACACCTAATGTACTGAGTTTGGCATCCTTCATTTACACCAGCTGTTAAGCTCAACGTTTCGTTGTATAATATGGTTCTCACCCATATAACAATTTACGTTACAACAACTTTACAGTTTGGTGTACAAAAACATGTTTTTGTAGAACCATAAATGTGTATTTGAAATGTAATTTCACAACTACATAACATTGCAACTGCAACGTTGTTGCGACGTTTTACTAGCGTAATTTTCAAACACAAAGACCGGAGATAGTATTATATCATGGAGGTATTATTGAGAAGGAGATCACTCTGCAAAGCCACGTGCATGCAGCGCTATGCAAATGAACCAAGATAAAAGTTGCCGCAGCGCGTAAAGAACGTTTGCGCGATACCTTTGAAGTCCCATGTGTTCCCTACCATCAAATTTTCTACATACTGTCAATCACTATGGCTGCGCAATCTTTTCTATTTTGAAGCTGATACATTTATCTCTCATAAAATATCAAACATATTAATATTTTCCTCCAAGAAAAGTTTCGAATTTAATGGAACATTTACATGACCTATAAAAGTATAGTATA